CCCGGAGATGCTATCGATGTTTATCTTCAACCTTTGATAGAGGAATTAAAAGAATTGTGGGAATCTGGAGTGGAGACCTTTGATGCATCAACTAGACAAAATTTTATGTTACATGCATCTTTGTTATGGACCATTAATGACTTTCCAGCATATGCAAATTTATCTGGATGGAGTACAAAGGGAAAAATGGCTTGTCCATGTTGTAATAAAGAAACTGTTTCAATTAGGTTAGAAAATTGTAAAAAACAATGTTATATGGGCCATAGACTCTTTCTTCCTCTTAATCACAAATGGAGGAATGATAGAGAGTCATTTGATGGCACTAAGGAGCGAAGATTACCACCAAAAAGCTATCCAGTGATGATATACTTGATCAAGTGGCTGATTTAGATGGTTTACAATTAACAAAGGATCCAAAGAAGAAGGTTAAAATATCACATGAGAGTAGGGGTGATAATTGGAATAAGAAGAGTATTTTCTTTGATCTTCCTTATTGGAGAACTCTATTGTTGCGGCATAACTTAAATGTGATGCATATTGAGAAGAACATATGTGATAATATTCTGGGGACAATCTTAAATGTTAAAGGGAAAACCAAAGATACCATAAACACTCGGTTGGATTTGCAAGCAATGAACATAAGAAAAGAATTGCATCCAATAAAAAATGGGGATAAGTATGACTTACCAACAACATGTTTTACACTATCTCCTGAAGAGAAGTATAAGTTTTTCAATTTCCTGAAGAACTTAAAGGTCCCAGATGGATTTTCATCAAGTATTTCTCAGTGTGTCAACCTTAAAGATCGCAAAATTTCAGGTTTAAAAAGTCATGATTGCCATGTCCTTCTACAATATTTACTCCCACTTGCAATACGTGGTATGCTTAGCAAATCTGTACGGGAACCACTTATTGAGTTGTCATTATTTTTCAATGTGCTTGGAGGAAAATGTTTAAGAATGAATGAATTAGAGCAGATAGATGGCCAGATTCCTAAAACTGAGTGCAAGTTAGAAAAGGTGTTCCCTCCTACATTTTTTGATGTCATGGAGCACTTGCCTATTCATTTAGCTAATGAAGCTAAGATTGCTGGACCTATTCAATGTCGATGGATGTACCCAATGGAGCGATATATATACTTTTTGAAGCCTTTTATTCGTAATAGGGCATGCGCAGAAGGTTCTATTGCAGAGGGATATTTAGCAGCTGAATGTATGACCTTATGTTCAAGGTATTTGCATACAATGGAAACAAAGTTTAATCGCCTTGAACGAAATTATGATGGTGGTGTTATAGAATCTGATGGAGGTTTAGCAATTTTTTATCAATCTGGAAGAGCTTTAAGAGGTGGGAAAATAGACAAACTTGATTCAAATGATCTGGAGCAAGCACATTTTTATATTTTGGAAAACAACGAGGAAGTTCAACCATTTCTTGAGTAAGTAAAGACTTGTTATAACAATTTAATACCTTCTCTATTTATTAATTTAAGCTGACATATTTTTACACTGCAATTTTGTAGAGAGTTTTCACAAACTCCAGTTGATACCTCTCAAGAAAATTCTGATAGACAATTTATTAGTTGGTTAAAAGAAAAGGTGAGTACCAACTAATAATAATATTTTTCAAACTATGTAATTATTATTTGCTAAACTATGTATTTGATCTTGATAGGTCGCAAGATTGCAAAAGTACGATGACAGTAAGAAAATGGCAGATTTGCTGTCATTGTCACGTGGTCCCACGCCATATGTGACAAGTTTTCGTGGCTATATTATTAATGGATATAGGTTTCACATGTTGGACTATGATAAAGGTTTGAGAACTCAAAATTGCGGGGTGGTTGTAGTTGGAGAGACCGATGAAGAGAATAAAAATATCGATTTCTATGGTGAACTAACAGAGATTCTAGAATTACAATTTGTTCCGGGAAGAAGGGTGGTTTTATTTCGATGTACATGGTTTGATGTGTATGACCAAGAAAAAGGAGTTAAAATAGATGAATATGGCTTTGTAAGTGTTAACTGCCAGCGATTTCTGAAAACAAATGAGCCTTTCGTATTAGCCAACCAAGCATCGCAAGTTTTTTATGCTGAGGATCTTTCTAATAAAGGCTGGCATGTTGTACAAAAGGTGCAACCTCGTGATTCTTTTGACATTCTGCAAGAGAATATTGATGATTTAGAGGAGTTAGATAATTCTTCACAACTAAAAAGGAAAAGAACTCAAGAAGGTTTGGAGTTCTATCACACCTGCTTTTAATTTGTTAACTCCTTTATTATAATAAAAGTTCCATACTAAAACCCATTTGATTTACAGGTTAAGTTGCAGGAAAGGAAAAACATTTCTAAAACTCCACCAGTGGATTTCTTCTTAGCTGATTGTATGTTCATATATAATGGATTGACTCACTAAACATTTATTTTCTTTAAGTTTTCATGTGTTATGTTTCTGTTAGTTTTATTCATTACTGTTGTCTATTGCCAACTAACTTTTTAGTTTGTTTCCTACACCTTCACATGTTCATATATGATGAAATTGACATGAATATCTATTAATCAACTAATTTTATTTCTATCAGGCTGACATGGATCCATCAAAATCTCAGAAGTTTGAAATGGTATCAACTTCGAAGACTTTTAAGCATGCATACGTTCCACCTGGTGCCTTAGCAAGGGGACGAGGGAAAAGCTTCAGAGCTTTTGGTTCTGTAAGAGTTAACGCTGAACAAAGAAGCGAAATAAGTATATTATTGTCTTAAATTGTAATTTTTTGTTATTGTCATTGTACTGGATTTTTTTTGACTTAATTGTGATTTACAGGTCCATATGAATCTGAAAAGTCCAAACAAATAAGAGCAAACGCTGAACAGAGAACTTTGATGGGCAAAAATAAAAACAATAATGCAGTAGCTTCTAATCAGAATAAGCTAGCTCAGAAGGATAGTCTTGGGCCTCCTGGTTTTGATCCAATATTGGAATATGATGCTTCCTTTTCTGATGAAGAAGCGATGCAAGGCACTCAGAGAAGCAAAATAAGTATATTATTTTCTTAAGTTGTAATCTTTGTTGTTGTTGTTATTGTATTGATTTTTTTTTTTACTTAATTGTGATTTACAGGTCCATATGAACATGAAAAGGCCAAAAAAGTAAGAGTAAGCGTTGAACAGAGAACTTCGATTAGCAAAAACAAAAACTATAATGCAGTAGCTTCTAATCAGAATAAGCAAGCTGAGAAGGATAGTCTTGGGCCTCCTGGTTTTGATCCAATATTGGAATGTGATGCTTCCTTCCCTGATGAAGAAGCGAGCAAGGCACAAAAAGAAGCGAAATAAGTATATTATTGTCTTAAGTTGTAATTTTTTTTTGTTGTTATTGTACTGGATTTTTTTATTTGTTTGACTTAATTGATATTACAGGGCCACATGAAACTGAAAAAGCCAAAAAAGTGAGAGGAAAAAATAGGTGTAAAAAAGTTGCAGGACTCAAAGCTGGAGAAAAGTTGAGAGTCACTTTTTACAACAATCGAGTTGTTGGGAAGCATCATGCCTTATTTACGAGACACTTAGGTGTATTAGTTCGTGACCGTAATATGTGCCCATTACGCATACACTCATGGACGGAAATCGAAGAATATAAGCTGGAGCACATGTGGCAAGCTGTTACCGTAAGAATTTAAACTATTACTATCTTGATTTGCCTTCTCTATTTCTTCTTCACAAATGAAAAGGAAATACTGTGAGCTTAATTACATCATCCATTGAAAGGCTGGCTTTACCATATTGAAAGTTCAATTGCAATTTTACAGTCAAGACAGAGATAGGCACTTGTTACTGTTGTAGGCATGTATATATTGATGACTTTTCTCTTTTTTCTTTTGACTAAAACCATGATTCTTCTTGAAGCGTACGCTTGAAGTTATTTTCATTTATATTACGAGTTTAATTCTAAGTGAATGAAATGCTTCACAAAACTGGAAACTAAAGAATTTAAGTGAATTGTGACTTTATATTAGTCTGTAATTCGTGAATGAATAATACAACACAAAGGTTACAAATATGTTAAGATTTTTGTACTAGTCTGCAGTTTCAGAATCTAGTGAACTTGTCGAAACTTTTTTTTATTTCTGAAAAAGAACTACTCCAGCGTAAATAATTAGAGGTGTCAATTCCAAATGTAAATAAAATTCATCATGTTTTAGCCTATGCAGGAGTACTAAAAGTAGATATTGTAAAAGACCAATATCTACTTAGTTCTTGGATCAGGTATTATCTTTGTGAAATTGTGTGCATTATTTATCAATCAAATAGGGAGAAGTACTATATGTGAAGCACTTAAAAAGTTTGGCTGCTCCATATATCATGATTCGTTAATGCTTTGCAAATGACTAAGTAACACTGTGCTTTTACTTTTCCTTTATTTTTCTATGAAGAGGTGTATTGGTTATTATATTTTAACTTAATCTAATAATGTAGTGGTGTCAAAAAATAATTTGCATTATATTTGGAGATTTTGATGTAATAGTTGCCAAGTCCTAGAATAAAGTACTTTCAGAACATTTAAGATAAACTCAACCCTGTCACTTTCTTAGATTCTCTAGATGCACTTATAACTGATTTACTATTTGTTCCTCATTTTAATCTTGGCATACACCTATTCTTCTGTTATTAATATTCACTCATGCATATTTGCTGCTTCAAGTTTGGCTAACCTCTCATTTTGACTGTTGCAGGTATATTTGTGCATAAGTATCTTTCTTTTGCCTGTCAAATAGAACCAAATATCAACTGATGCTCGCTTCACTTTTTTCTTTAAGGAATATGCCCTCTTTATAAATTAGAACTCGTCTAACCATTATGAGCTTTATAATTTCCTGTGATACACATAGTTGGTTAAAAATTTATTTTTCTAATTTATTTGAAATTTTTTTGAGTTTCATTATTAATGATACTTGTGAAATAATATAGGACAAATTTGATAGTGATAACATAAATAATCAACGAGATCATGTCTTGAAACATATGAGAAAGTTATGGAACAATTGGAGAGGATCGATGCACAAGAACATAAAGTCTAAGCCATTCCGCGATGCTTTAAGAGAGGTACCAGAGGGGGTAGACGAGAGTGATTGGAAATGGCTGGTCAAAGAGCATTTTTTAACTGAAAAATTTAAGGTAAGGTTTCATAACTATTTATTAAAATCTTCTTATATTAAGTGGCTAACCATAATTTTGGTGGCGTATTGTTAATTTAGGAAACAAGTACAAGAAACTCGATCAATAGATCTAAGTTGACAATGCCTCATCGTACGGGTAGTAAGCCTATTCGAGAGATCATGTATGAATTGGTGAGTAAGTATTGCAATTTTTATTGAGAAACTTCATCTTAGTTAAAAAAATTCTGTGACTTATTTATTTAAATGTGAAGGGAGGCAAAGATGGAAACCCCCCAGATATGGCAACTATCTTTTTTGAGACTCGAAGAAGGACGACAAGCTTGTCGAACCTGAAACCAATGAAAAATATGTAAGTTTATTGTCAAATTTTATTTTACATCATTTTATTTTATGTGTTGTATTATTTCCAATACTCTTGTAATTTATAGGCTAAAATTCAAGAACTGGTGCAATCTGAATCGTCTCTTACAAACATTGAGGTCATAGAAAGGTGCTTCGGACCTCAACGCAAGAGTCATGTAGTTGGATTTGGTGGTGGAATTACTGCTAAGGAGTTAAAAGGTGGTAACTCCTCCAAGGCTGCATTGTTGGAAAAGCTGAGTGCTACTGAAAAAGAAAATGAATCACTAAAAGGACGCATAGAAGGGCTAGAGAGTAAATGCGAAGTTCTAGACAGTAAATATGCACAACTTGCAAGTGCAGTGTTTAACCAGGCTTCATCATCATCTTCAAGTGAACAATAGATTGAAGCATTTAACAGGTTAGTAGATTAAAAATTCTATTAATCACCTTTCAAAAAATACTTTATCTAAAACATAAAAATAATACAATTTTACATTAATCACCTCTTCTTGTACTTTTCCTTGCCTGTGAAAAAGATAGAGCTCAAACCAAAAAAAAACTTGGTGGAGGGGCATTTAATACTGAGTTGATTTTAATCCCATTGTTGTATGTATTACTTGGAACCTTCCTCAATGGAGGTTTTTGATATTGACCTACAGATATAGAGGAAGATGATTTCTAGGAATGCTGTCTATGATTCACCCTTAGTTTATTTTATCAAGAACCAACATATTCACACTGAATAGTTTATAGATGTACTTGAGAGTTGAGATAAGCAGCACCGATTAGAATGATGAGAATATTCTACCACTCTTGTGCTGATATTTTTTGCACTATGTAAAAATATTTTTGCAAATCCTGCCAACTTATTTAACTACAACCCCAAATGGATAAGCTGCCAGCAGTTTGATCCCATGTTACACCCAATTGTCAAGCATTTGATTTCTTCTGAACTATTGTCTTGAAAATTTTAATATTCCATTTATGCATAAGTAAAAGAAGATAAGTCAATCGTTATCTATTTGAGACGAAATAGTTTCTGAAAAATAAAATTGCAAGTGCAATGAAAATGAGCTTTCTGTCTCAATACCATTTATTTTTTAATGATGTTTCATCTCCTTCCTTCGATTGCTTGGCATGAGACAGCGTTAGCAAATAACACTAGTATTTCGATTTTCAACAGCTTTAATGGTGACTTTGTTCTTAACAAATGTAACATCTGGTTTTTAATAATAGTTGAAGGTGACTTCCCCCAAGTTAGCTATTTCATCTTACCAGTGCTAGTTCATATTATGTAGAATAGAATCAGTTGAATTACTTAGAGTAAAATGTTTTTACGCTACAGCTTCTTTCAAAGAATGATACCAAATAGCATTCTTTAAAACCAATATCATACAGATAGTTTTGGGTTGATATTTTTTGGACTCCAGGTAATCGAAGAGCTTATAATTATCAAAAGTGAATTCTCTTTCACATAATTAATTGGAAAGTTGATCCTTTATACTGTGTGCTTCTACACATCTGGCATGTGCTAGAAGTTGCATATCGATGTGTGCTAGATGCCATTAATATTATACTCTATGATGAAACTGTTAGAATGTTCAATGAATTTTTTTCCATTACATTAAGGTTTATGAATTTAAATAAAAATATAGTCATCGAGACAAGTAAATTTATAAGCAAGAATGAAGTTCCATACCCAATATCACCTAGAGTTGTCATAATCTAGCTCAATGAACAGAGAATTGATGAAATAATATACCTCAAAGCAGAACCAAAAGGTGAGTTGTAAAGGGAAGTTTGGTATATGAACAATCATCGGTTCTTCAAAGAGACTTGATTTGAAGTCATTATTGACTCTTTCTAAAAAGTTTCTATATGCATTTTGTATCTCAATCGCTTTTTCGCCTTATGTGTAGAATCACATGAAGCTCTATATAGAATGTGCTTGCCAGAATAAGACAATTTGCTATGCAGGTATTAGTATGACTAGGATGTGTGATTTAGAACTTCATGAGTCTTCTGATCATTGTCCGTGAACGTAGAAAATATAATGTGACGTTTTTCTGCTACAATATTGCCTACTGTTATGTCAACTGATAATTGTATTATTTCACTAGGGCGATCAGTGTAGTCTTTGATGAGTCTAATCTTCTTCTTTAATTGTTTATTCTTTGTTACAAACTGACATAAATTTTTTACTTCAACAGATCAAAAACTTGGAAGTCTGAAGAACCTATTGTTGAAGAAAGTGCACATCAAGTTGAAGAACAAGAGAATTTTGTTATGTTAGGGATGGTTTGAAGGCACTGCCTTATGTACATATGCTGCAGTTTTATTTTTTCTCTTTTTAGGAATTGTTAAAAATGATGTTATACTATTTGGATTGCTTTCTGGTAATGTGGTGATGTTATACTATTTGAATTTCTTTCTGGTAATCAATGTAATGCTTAGATCTTTGTATTAACAGAATATCAATCATTTGGTTGATTTTCAAATGTGTCTGGTGTGTGTATGAAAGCATATGTACTATTAGTGAAATATATATTTTTGTCATTGTATTTATTAAAATTTTCAAGTAGCGAAGGGAATGTGATCATAGTATCTATTGAATAACAGGTTTCTCAAATAGTTTATTAGGCATTAGCGATTAAATGTAATTATACAATTAACGAAGGGACTTTCGGTCCCTAAAAGCACTTGTAAGAACCAAATTAGTTGTTAGCATTGAAGACTTTTAACGACTGGATAACACATTAATGAGGGAAAAATCCTGTCGCTAAAAACGATATATAACGACCGGAAATAATGCCGTCGCTAAAGGGTCTTTAACGACCGGATTGAAAATCGGTCGTTCACTTTTAACGTCGGAGCTTTTAACGATCGGCGACGACCGGATTTTTATCGGTCGTTATTGACTTATAGCGACCGGATCTGGACTTTTAACGACCAAATTTCCTCTCGCTAAAGGCCTATTTTCTTGTAGTGTTTAGTGTTCTTGATCCATCTCGAGGACACTGGGCTCGAGGTCGATACTGCTTAGTAACACTGGTTTGGTTTATTCATTTCTTTCATATATATTTTATACTTCTTGATTATTTATTAGTATTGAACTAAATCACATATCTTTAAAACCATAAATTAAATTTAATTGTTCATCGTATTTTCGAGGTAAATAGTTTGGCGCCCACCGTGGGGCTAAAGTTAATAGTGATTATTTCAGTACTGATTCTCATAACACACGTTATTTTTACACTTTTTCTTGTCAAGAATTTTTGATTCTCAGGATTAAACATGTCAAACTCGCAAAACGCACCTGTTCATGACAACGAAGTTCTTGAATTTCATAGGGAAAACAACAATGTAGGGGTCGGTGTACCACTGATAAACCCTGGGGAAGTGCCAAATGTGGAACCAGTTGATGTTAGTTCGCACATTGCAGCAGATTTAGGTGCAGACCTTAGAGGAAGTGTACACAGGGAGGCCCGATCTGGGGGCCAAGGAACACAAGGTATAAGAGATGGGGGAGTCAGCCTCCAAGTTATATTCGAGATGCTGCAAGCTCATCAGATTGCCATTGCTCAACTTCAAAGTCCGAATAAAACTCCGAGTATAGCCGAACCAGAAAACACTCGACGTGCTGAACCGGCGCAAGAGAGGTCAAACGAAAATGGCTCGGGGACTGACCCCACCATTATGAGAATTCTCGAAGAGCTCACCAAGAGGATTGAGTCAGGGGAAAAGAAGATTGAAGAAAATGACAAAAAGGTGGAGACTTACAACTCCCGTGTTGACCAAATACCGGGGGAACCCCCGGTCTTGAAAGGTTTAGATGCCAAAAAGTTCATACAAAAATTATTCCCCCAGAGCGCGGCTCCGATGCCCATTCCTAAAATGTTTCGCATGCCCGATATACGCAAATATAACGGGACAACCGACCGTAATGAGCATATTACCTCATATACTTGCGGGATTAAAGGAAACGACGTGAATGATGATGAGATCGAGTCAGTGTTGTTGAAAATTTTTGGGGAAACTTTGTCGAAAGGAGCAATGATTTGGTATCACAACTTGCCTCCTAACTCTATTGATTCGTTTGCTATGTTAGTAGACACCTTCGTAAAAGCACACGCCGGGTCCATAAAGGTGGCGACGAGAAAATCGGACGTTTTCAAGATAAAACAGAGGAACAACGAGATGTTGAGGGTGTTCGTGTCTAGGTTTCAGATGGAGCGAATGGAATTACCACCGGTCTCAGATGACTGGGCAGTGCAAGCTTTTATGTAGGGTTTGAATGAGAGGAGTTCGATCGCATCTCGATAATTAAAGCAGAATCTGATCGAGTATCCAACTGTGATGTGGTCAGACGTGCATAGTCGTTATCAGTAAAAGATCAAGGTCAAGGACGACCAGCTGGAGCCCCCTCGGGTTTAGTTCATCCTAATAGATTGGCAGCCAAGCCCCCAAGGGATACAGACAGGGAATCGAGGTTAAACAAGGAACAGTATCAGCCGTATGTCGATCGGAGAAACAATGGCTCGGGTCGTAACGCTCCTCGGAATGATCGGAGAAATGATCGAGGTCAAAGTTGTCGGGGACTCATGAGTAAGAATGGGTTCGATAAACATACCGACCCCGCGGAGGCACCTCGATTGTCGGAATATAATTTCAGTGTAGATGCATCCGGGATCGTGTCAGCTATTGAAAGAATCAAGGACACCAGATGGCCCAGCCCCATACAAATCGACCCTTCTCAAAGGAATCCAAATTTGATGTGTAAGTATCATGGCACACATGGTCATAAAACCGAAGACTACAGGCAGCTAAGGGAGGAGGTAGCTCAGTTGTTCAACGAAGGTCACCTTCAAGAATTTCTCAGTGATCGAGCTAAGAACCACTTGAGGGAGAGAGATGCAAGCAGGAAAAAAGAACAGGAAGAACCACAACATGTAATCCACATGATCGTTGGCGGTGTCGATGTCCCACAAGGACCTGTATTCAAACACACCAAGGTGTCGATCACCAGAGAAAAACGGACTCGTAGCTATGTGCCCGAGGACGTCCTATCATTCTATGACGAGGGAGCGCAAGGCATATCTTAGCCACACAATGACGCCCTGGTAATTTCAATTCTTTTAAATAAAATTCAAGTTAAACGTGTTCTAGTGGATCCAGGTAGCTCAGCAAACATAATAAGATCGAGGGTCGTAGAACAGCTCGGCCTACAGGATCGGATTGTACCTGCATCTCGGGTCTTAAATAGCTTCAACGTGGCAAGCGAAACAACAAAAGGGGAGATAATCCTCCCAGTAAACATAGCCGGGACCATACAAGATACCAAATTCCATGTCATTGAAGGCGACATGAGGTATAATGCACTCCTCAGGAGACCATGGGTACACAACATGAGGGCAGTACCTTTAACTCTTCATCAGATACTGAAGTTCCCAACAGAGGATGGAGTGAAAACGGTTTACGGGGAGCAACACGCTGCAAAGGAAATATTTGCAGTCGATGAAGTGACGTCGATACCAGAGTCTTCAGGCTCGGAAAAGTTGACACCAAAGGTAAGCAGGCGGCTAAATAGCAATCACCGCCTCTAGCCTCGACAAAATCGGAGCAACAGATAATCGAAGACGAAGAAGAGGATTTCCTTACTCCTCGAACTTTCATTGTTCCCGGAGAGTCCGATGCAACTAAGTCAACGGTCGAGGAACTGGAGTAGGTCATATTGATCGAATACATGCCCGAGAGAAAGGTATACCTGGGAACGGGATTAACCCCCAAACTCAGGAAAAAACTCATTCAATTTCTTATTGATAATATAGATTGCTTTGCTTGGTCCCATTTAGATATGATAGAGATTCCACCGGATATAACAACACACCGGTTAAGCCTCGACCCCAGGTTTAAACCGGTAAAGCAAAAACGGAGGCCCCAGTCCGAGGTGAAGCATGCATTCATAAAGGATGAGTTAACCAAACTTCTTAAAATAGGGTCTATTCGGGAGGTAAAATACCCCAAATGGTTAGCCAACGTAGTTGTAGTTCCTAAAAAGGGAAACAAGCTTAGAATGTGCGTAGATTACAAGGATTTAAACAAAGCATGCCCAAAAGACTCTTTCCCATTGCCCAACATCGATCGTATGATCAATGCCATGGTCGGCCACGAGATCCTAACTTTTCTCGACGCCTACTCCGGGTACAATCAAATTCAGATGGACCCGGATGACCAGGAAAAGACCTCGTTTATCACTAAATTTGGAACTTATTGTTACAACGTAATGCCCTACAGGCTAAAAAATGCAGGAGCTACATACCAACGCCTAGTTAACAAAATGTTCGAGGAACAGATAGGTAAATCGATGTAAGTTTACATTGATGATATGTTGGTTAAGTCCCTGTGCGCAGAGGACCATTTAACTCATTTGCAGGAAACATTCAAAATCTTGAGGAAATACAACATGAAGCTTAAATCAGAAAAATGTGCTTTCAGAGTCGGCTCGGGTAAGTCCCTCGGCTTCATGGTGTCGAATCGGGGTATCAAAATCAACCCCGATAAGATCAAGGCTATCGAGGATATCACTGTCGTGGATAGTATGAAGGCCGTTCAAAGGCTAACAGGACGAATAGCTGCCTTGGGTCGGTTCATTTCGAGGTCATCAGATCGAAGTCATAGGTTCTTTTCCTTGCTAAAAAAGAAAAAGGATTTTGCATGGACCCCGGAATGCAGCAAGCCTTGGAAGAATTGAAGCGATACCTATCGAGCCCGCCTTGCTTCATACCCCGAAGGTATATGAAAAGCTTTACTTATATTTGGCAGCATCCGAGATAGTGGTAAGTGGGGTACTAGTTCGAGAAGAGCAAGGTACGCAATTCCCTGTTTATTATGTAAGCCGAATTTTAGGAGATGCTGAAACTAGATACCCTCACTTAGAAAAATTAGCACTTGCATTGATAAGCGCATCTAGAAAGCTAAGGCCATATTTTCAGTGTCATCCCATATGTGTATTAACCACTTACCCCCTTCGAAATGTTTTGCATAAGCCCGAGCTATCGGGCCGGTTGGCCGAATGGGCTGTCGAACTTAGCGGGTACGATAGCGAATATCAACCCCGAACGGCCATCAAGTCTCAAATCCTAGCTGACTTTATGGCCGATTTTACGCCGACCCTCGTACCCAAAGTGGAGAAAGAACTCCTGCTAAGATCGGGTACATCATCGGGGGTATGGACCCTATTCACGGACAGTGCCTCGAATGTTAAAGGGTCCGGGCTTGGCATTGTCTTGAAGCCACCTACAGGTAGTACCATTAGACAATGTATCAAAACTTCTAGGCTGACTAATAATGAGGCCGAGTATGAGGACATGATTGCAGGTCTGGAGCTAGCTAAGAGCTTGGGGGCAGAAGTCATTGAAGCCAAGTGCGATTCATTGTTGGTGGTAAACAAAAGTTTTGAAGTCCGAGAGGATAGGATGCAACG